TTTTTTTTTTTTTTTTAACACACAAAACCATTTATTCTGTTTTTTTTTTGTACAACATGGTGCTGCCAGGACACCAAAGGCAACAACTCCTGGTAGGCAGTCATATGTTTCTGTGTAGGGTTTGATGTAATTATGACAGCTTCACCTGGTACTCTTTCCTTAGAGAATAAATGTGCTAACTTTGTAAGGCATTTGGAAAGACACTGTGTCCTTTAAAGTTATTTTGTCAATGGTTTGCGTATAATTAGTAGTTATTAAACCAATTTATATTGATAAAGGAGCTGAGAGAAAAGATATTAAGGAGAAATATATGAAGATAATTATTTTCATGCCCAAGAGGTATATAAGCAATGGAACAATATAAAGATATACAATTAAAAGGCTAAATGAATAAACATGGGAAGAGCAATAACTGAGAACAGTCATAATAATATAAGCATAAGAATGGGATTTTTTTTTTTTTAAATAAAAAGAAGAACAGGTTCATAAATTATATCCCAATGAATAAATGAATGATTAGCCAATTTTCAAGGATTATATATCTGATAAAACAAAGATTACACTACATATGTTAAATGTATATACATATAGAAATGAGATAAAGCATCAACTCAGTAGCATTATTTTCAATTACAATTGCATATAAATTCAGATCACTATGTGAACAGTAATTTTTATATGTGTTCATGCATTTTAAATGTGTAAAATTGCTACATTTAGTGGTCCACTTTTTTTGCTACAAAAGACATCAACAGCTCCAATATCATCATAATTTCACTATTTGGAATTGGAGATTCAATGAATCCCACAAAGACTCCATGACAAAGAAGTGGTTTGTTTGCTCTGAGCTAATTATATCTAAAAAAGGATATCTACCTTTGGTAGCATAGCAGCAAAAATGTTCATTACTTTAGCTCAGGACAACCAAAGACATCTAGAAATCATCTCAGGAAGGAAGCACAAGAATTATTAGAAATTGTTTAATGCTTATAAGCAATTTTAATGCTGGCAAAGAATGTATCTTATGTACTGGGGTTTATGGCAACATATACATTTTGTTTGATAAAGACAGATGTGAAGTTTGCTCTAGATGATCAAATGTGATGAGACTACGTGAGAAAACTGGAAAGAAAATCCCTGGAGCAAGCTAGCACAAGACTAGGAAGACTTTTTAAAAAGTGTCTATTTTGAAATTAAAAATAATGAGTGTAATGAAATTGCAGGTGGATTAAAATTCTAGTTTGGTAAGTTAAAGAGACATATGAGCATGCTGAGAGCTGAAAACTAAACCTGGTAGAGCTAGTGCAAGAAAGGTGTAATTGTCAAGATATAAGAAGGCACAAATTAGCATTAGCAAATTTTAGAGTAATGAAAACCAACTAAAAACCAAAAAAAACCCCAAAAAAACCAAAAAAAAACCCAAACCAAACCAAACCAAAAAAAAAAAAAAAACAAAAAAAAAACCAAAAAAAAACCAACAAAACTTCCATAAAGACTTTTTCATTTGGTATCATTGATCACAGGAAACCACACATAATTTTGTTGAATGATGAGAATAACATAAACTCAAAGGAGGAGTTAATGCAGTGTCAGAAAGTAATATAAACATTTTTAAAAGACTGTGGCTAGGAAGTTTAAGTGGTTTACACAAGTCCATAGTGAAAAAAAATGGATGGCATTAGTATTGACATAAAACAGGTGTTAACTAATCTTCATATGCTATAAAAATTCAGCAAGATAAATATATGAGAAATCACTACATAAGTCCAAGCCCTTTGACGTTGTACTTAAAAGCAATGAAAAAAGCCAATCAGAAGCCTAGGCTGCAGTTCTGAATGAAATGAACTAGCACTAAGTATGGAAGAAATGTAATGATATTTGGAATACTGTAAATAATTGCATTTCTACATACTGAGATTCACTGTGCAATTTTATACCATTAAATACATAAAGTTTTTTAAAACCCACATGTACACACTTACAGACTACGGCCATTCAAAAGCTCAAAGGAACTGGAATCACTACATGTAAAAATGTACTATCTTCCTTTAAAAATTTAGGTAAAACATGTCTTCATTCATGGAGGAAAGTATGGTTCCTAATCCACAGTTCTGAGGTGGGCATTTTGAAAGGTCCCCAGTTACACTGTACATTAAAAAATCCATGGTAACGAAGAGATAGGTATTGGCATCTGTCATACTGTGAGCCAATCTGATTGTTTTCCACTAATAATCTTGCTCTGATCTCTTCCAAAATGTTTTACTGAAGAACATGCAGGTCCCCACGTTGCATTATTTTGATCGGATTCTGTTCCTGATTCTGCCCCTACTACAACTGAAAAAGCAGGAAGTGCAACAGGAGTGGAGTAAGTTCAACTCCAGAGTGGGAAAAGCAGCAGTAATATAATGCTTTAAAAGCTGGAAGGAAGTGTCCTGAGGTCTATCAGACCTCTATCGGAGGAAGGAGACAGTGAAAAAAGTTTGAAAAGTGAGAAAATAACTTAAAAGGTGTAGGTTGCAAGAGACCTAAAAAGAAACATACATGTAGGCTATATGCTGCATACAAATCCCTAACAAGTTATATGGTAAAGTTTCAACTGAGGCTAAATCCTGTTTTCTCATGTCTGTCATGCTACCTACTGCAACATCAGGATTACCTCAGGAAGGGATATATTAGCACAAAGTAAGATATATGCAATAGTATGTTCTTAAACATGATAGATACAGAAAGATTAGTGAGAATACACATTACAGAATAACTGAAAGGATCACACAGTAGGCAAAATTTTTAGCTTAATTTCAGAGGCTTCCCTCCATAACCTTTTATGAACAATTAGGTAAAGCACTGGTATTATTTTTGCTCTGGTCTACAAGGCATTGTGACTTTCTTCAAAATAATAACCTGGATATATGTACATTATGCTATATCTATGAATGAAAAGCAGGTCACAAAAATATGACTGTGTGACTGACCCTGCAACTGGGTATGGTCTTCGAGTAGATCTCTGCCTACTTTGTTCTCCCCAGAGAAACAATTCTTAAAAGTCTTACAATTCAGAAGCCAGATGAAAAAGCAATTTTTGAGGACTAGAAATTTAATGGATGGGGGAGAAGTGTTTCACAAATAGATCTTTAAATTCTGTGTTGTGTCATTTCAGTACAGCCTTCCTTTCAGTTTTTCCCAAGACAACCACTTCTGGACTAAAGAAGACTTTGCGCAGAAAATGCCTTCTATTGCCTGTTTTTGTGTCTGCTCCCTCTCTTCTCAGCAGCCTCTGACATTCTGCAACACGTCTTTCGTTCATCTTCTCACTTCTTCATACTGACCTTCAGCAATGTGTTCCATCAAGCATTCCAATTTATTTCAAGGAAGGAACACAGCCTATCCTTCCTGCAGAGGGAGCCACTTCAACCAGTCACTCTCTTAGATAAATGCTAAAACCACCAATTGCAAGTTAGAAGATTAGTTCTGACCATAGCCTAAAAAAATTGCTCACTCACTGTGATGAATACTATCTACTGTATTTCTGGATGGATAGAATATACTAAGCAGCAATAGGTTGTAAAGAACATAATATTTAAAAGAGTGAATGGGATTATGTTTCACAGAAGGGGTTTGTGTCTATGGCTTCCTTTGAAGAGAAAGCAGAGATTTAAACGTTGTCAGGAACATTAAATAATTTTAACCCCCGTTATTCTAATTTTATTTGCAGTGCATGGAAATATAATTGCTGTGCTCCATATACTGCATTTATTCCGAACTTTTGAATTTTTACAAAACAAGAAGCATGCCATTTTGTAAGTGTTCTATTCTTTGTCATCAAGTCAGTTTTGGAAACGACGTTCAAACAAACAAATTAAATAAATAAATAAATATTATTTTCTTACCTGTCTATAATGCCACATAAATCTATCTGAAGGTCACTGAAATAGCCAAAAATATTTTGCTGAACTGAGATCATATCCACTGCTTTGTGACCAATGGAAATGAGTCGCATGCATCCTTGAAAGCCACCAAATGAGGTATTACATTCAGAAATGTTTCCACTGCTAGGACAGCCTGAAAGAAGCATAAAACCTGGAGCTGAAAAAAAATATATTTAATTGAAAAAATTATTTATTCTAAAAGTAGGACTTTGATAATCTCTAGGTGGTGTAAACTTTGCGAGCTGAAGAATTGAGCCAAAAGTTTATCTTAATAGGCGTGGTTGGTGCAACTGTAAAGAACTACTATGCTATCTTAATGTTTTTAAAGAATACACAAAGGCATTACTAAAAATTTGGGTAACAGATAACCCAAGCAGCAGTTCCAAAGCAATGAATAGAATCAAGATGTGAACAGATTGACTGCCTGAACTTAGCCACAATATGTTAGGTTACTATACAAGGTGCACATGATTTGGACAAGTTTAAGTAAAGTCAAATATAACAAAAAATTGTTACTAAGTACAGTGACTTTAATTTATCAAGCTGTCCAGAAAATTCTAGCAAGTATTGAAGACAATTTCTTGATGTAGCTCATCTATTACTCAGCTATGAGAGATGTCCTGTTGGACCTGCTACTTACAGGCAAAAAGGAAATGGCTAAAAATGTGAAGATCAAGAACAGTCTTTGTTATGCCAAACATAAAACTATGGAGTTTATGATTCATAGACAAGAGAGTAAGAAAAAAATGCAAAATTACTAACCCTGGACTTCAGAAGGGCAAATGTTGTTTTGTTTGGGACCTGTTTTGAGGGTCCTATTGGAAATTGCCTTGGATGGCAAGAGCCTTGAATATACTTCAACAAAAAGCTCTTTGGAACATAAGGAAAGTCTACAGAGATATCAAAATAAGTAACTGTGGCAGAAGTCTTGCAAACATAAATATGGAGCTTGTGACTGAGTGTAAACAGAAGAAGAAAATACATAACAGGCACAAGCAGGGACATGCAATTTTGGGGGGGTACAAAGACTTTACCTGCATGTTTAGGAATGAAGTTAAAATCGTATCTTAGGTAGGGTTAAAGCTATTGGGGAAGATGAAGTGAAAAAAAAAAAAAAAAGGTTTCTATACATACAACAGTAACAAAATGAAGGCTAGAGGAGATTATGGGTGCAATAATCCATGGGGCAGGGGCCCTAGTGGCAAGTGTATAGGGAAGAATTGATTTGTTCAATGCCTTTTTTCTTAAGCGTTCACTGATAAAACAGTCCTTAGGCTTCCCACATCCTAGCAGAGTATGAAGAAGGAAAGCAGCATCCACAATAAAGGAAGAAAAAGTCCAGGGTCTACCTGAGGGTGCTGCAGGAACTGGCCAATGACATAGCAACAATTGTCATTGTTTGTGAAGCCATTATAATTTTAATCCTCAAAAGGTCTTGACAAATTGGTGAGCTTGATGACTGGAAAAGGCAGGTGTTACACCCAACTTCAAGAAAGTCAAGAGGGAGGGCACAAGAAACTAGAGGCTAGCCAGACTTACTGCAGTCCCTTCCAAGTTTTGGAGTAAATTCTCTAAGAAGGCATTCTGAAGGGCAACAAAGTAACTGGGTAACTTCAGTTGTAAGACTAAGCCAAGCCTGACAGAGCTCTTAGTTTTCTTTGCTGAGGTGATGGGCACCATGGACAAAGGGACATCTATAAACATTGCGTATTTTGAATCTAGCAAAACCCCTAACTGTTTTCTACAGTCTTCCTATCACCAGATCAGAATCAGAAATACAGAAAATCACTGGGCTTCTAAGAAACCTTTAAGAACATCAAGTCCACTTATTAACCCAGCACTGTAAAGTCACCACTAAACATTGTCCCTAACTGCCACAACTACACACCTCTCAAATATCTCCAGAGATGATGACTCCACCACCCTCCTAGGCAGCCTGTTCTAGTGCTTTACAACCCTTTTGGGGAAGCAATTTTTTCCTAATATCCAACCTAAATCTCCCCTAGTGCTACCTAAGGCTATTTAATCTTGTGCTGCTGCTTCTTACACAGGAGAACAGACTTCACTACAATCTCTGTTCAGGTAGCTGTAGAGAGCAATAATAAGATCTTCCTTGAGCCTCCTTTTCTCCATCCTAAACAACCTCATTCCCCTCAGCCTCTCCTCATAAGATTTGTTCTCTAGATCCCTCACTATCTTCATAGCCCTTCTTTGGCCATGTTCCAGCACCTCAATGTCCTTCTTGTAGTGAGAGACCCAAAACTGAACACAGCATTCGAGGTGCAGCCTCACCAGTGATAAGCACAGGGTGATGATAACTTCCCTAGTTCTGCTGGTCATGCCAGTTTTGGTACAAGCCAGGATGATGTTGGCCTTCTTGGCTACCTGGGCACACTGCTGGCTCGTGTTCAGTCGCCTATCCACCAACAACCCCAAGTCCTTTTCTGCTGGGCAGCTTTCCAACTATTCTTCGCTAAACTTGGAGAAGTAGCCAGATTAAGTTCTAGTATGGCTTTGGCCCGAATATTTTTCTCCCTGCATAGCCTCACAGAACTTTTGTAGTCTTCCTCAATGACCTGCCCCTTCCTCCATACTCCATAGACTGAGCTTTTCTTCCTGAATTCCAGCTAAAGCTGTCTGTTCAGCCAGGTTGGTCTTCTCCCTCAACAGCTCATCTTATGGCACACTTGGACAGCTTGCTCCTGTGCCCTAAAGATTTCTTTCTTGAGGAATGTCCAGCCTTCTTCATCTCCTTTGCCCTTCAGGACTGCTTCCTGTGGGACTCTGTCAACTAGTCTCTCAAAGGAGTCAAAGTCTGCTCTCCATACATCCAAGGTGGCTGTTCTACTGACTCCCCTCCTTATTTCCTGAAGAATTGAAAACTATACCAAAGATGCTCTCCAACCTTCACATCACCCACAAGTCCTTCTCTGTTGTAAACAACAGGTCTATCGGGGACCCTTCCCTAGCTGGCTCCCTCACCAGCTGTGTCAGGAAGTGATCTTCCACACCATCCAGAAAATTTCCTAGACTGATAAGATATGCATGGGATAAATGGCCAAATCATGATGCAAAGTCCAGCTAGTGGTCAGTGAATAGAGGGTCCTTCATAGGTCAGTACTGCAGAACTATGCTGTTTAATGTCTTCATTAATGACCTGGATAATGGGACAGAGTGCACTTCCAGCAAGCTTGACACTGATACTAAATCAGATGCAGATATGGAATGTTGGAAGGCAGGGCTGCAACTCAGAGGGACCTGGGCAGCCTCAAGACATAAGTTCACAGGCATGCCATGAAGTTCAGTAAAATAAAGTTCCAGGTCTTTAATCTGAGATGGAACAAGTCAGTGCAACTTTCCAAGATGGATGATAACTGCCTTGATCTGTAGAGAAAGCACAGCCAGCACATGTGGGGCAGTGATCCTTCCCCCTGTGTGGCTCTTGTGAGACCACATATGGATTTCTGGAGTTCTGGACTCCCAAGTACAGGAAGGACATCAACAACGTGGAGTGTGTCCAGTGGAATTCTCCAGTGTGGTCAGGGATGTGAATGCACAGGGTGTATGAGAAGCATCTGAAAGAGCTGGGCCTTTTGAGTCTTAAGAAGAGAAGATAAAGCTATCCGATACAATGATAGAAGATTAAGCCAGACTTTTTCCAAAATTGCACAGTGATGGGACAAGAGGCAAAGGATGAAAGTAAAAAATGGCAAATTCAGATCACACATCAGTAATAAGTGCTTTTACCATGAGGGTGGTCAATATGAGAACAATTTGTCCAGGGGAGTTAGGATATTGCCATGATTGGAGCTGTTCAAGGTTTAAGTGGTCACAGCCTTGTACATCTTAATCTAATTAGACTGCTTTAGAACAGAGGGTTGTACTAGACAGTCTCTGGATGTCCTACCCAAACTCTGAATATCTTTCTGTAAGTATCTAATACTGTGGTTTGTCTGTTCTGTTGCTGATCCTGAAATGCCTTTTTCACTGACTGACAGTTAATTAAACATTGTTAATAAATCAGTACATTTCTTTGATTGTCATTTGATTTAAACCATGTCCATTGAGCAGTTTTTCCCAGTGACAGCTGAACGCTGCGTGGCCAAAATATGTCTAAATGGGTTATTTTCTTTGGTTTTCTCCTAAAGGTAGTATTGCTTCTGGAATGCACAAGGGCTGTTCTTTGATCTTGGTCAAATAACACTGCATTCTGATTCACAACATTCAAAGACCTTCTTGTTTCATGTTGTTAGGAAGCAGTGACTTTTAAGAAACTTCTCTGTTCCACAGAGCTAATGGGTACTTTCTGAAGTCCTGTAAAGACAGGGCAGAGGTTTACTATACAGAAAAGCACAATGACAGTGGAAACTATTAAATTTTTTCAAATGAGTGTAGAACAACATAAGTAGCATAGGTATTTTTAAAGAAGTATAAAATAGGAAATGAATGAATACTGAAGTAAATAAATTCTTAATATAAGTATATATTTAATAATAAATAAAATTTAAAATTCTAATATAAGTAAATAAATTCTTAGTCTGCTTTACTCTGGTGAACCAAACTGCTCAAAACTGTTATTATATTTCTAAAGGAAAATGGTTATTATCCACTTGGTGTATTTCTGTAACAACACCTCCTTAGAGATGCAAAAGTCCAGATAGGAGCACAGTAACTTTTCAGTACCATATACTGTTAGACAAATCAATTAAACATCTGGCCATATTCTTTACAGTATTCTACAATAAAATGGCAAAATCCATTCTATCATTTTTGGTGAAAAATCTGACACTTATTTGAGAATAACATAATTCCAATAGAGTCTATACTAAAAAAAAAAAATAAATAAAACGAAGGGCAGAGAAGCCAGAAGCTTATATGTTTTATACTTTTATACTTAGCTATTGTGCAAAATTGTGTCTCATATTTTTTAGCTTTGTGTCTGTCTTTTAAAAGTTGCCGTCTAGCTCTGCTAGAGAAAAGGCAACAACATTAATGTTAATGTACTTGGGCTTCCTTATAACTGTGGGCCGTACATTAAAAATAGGAAGAAATCTTTTAATAATGAAATTTAGCTTATGTGCTTATTTCAATATTAAATAGTCTGGTTTTGCCCTTACAGTTGCAATGAGTTATTATTTCAAGAACTGAGAGAGGTATTATATCCTTGATGATAGCATGACTGTAGATTGTGCTGACATAACACTGAAGTATTTTTATGTTTATTACACATTTTCCCAGCTAATCGTATACATTTCTGGCACACTTTGTGTTCATTAAAACAACAAGCAAATGAACAAAGACATCCCTAGGACAACTCTCCTGGAAGGCTGATATTCATGTTCTAACAACCAGCATATAGAAAGAAGGTGAATAGTCTTAAAAACTTAGAATGGATATCAAGAGGCATTGTCTGCATTTTGACAGTGACATATGACATAAAATTTTAATAATCAATTTTCTAAACTCAGAAGCCTTCTGCTGCTTTTCTCCAAGCTTGTATGACACGCACAAACTACCTATTTCATCTATAAAGCTATAAAGATGAAATCAAAGAAGCTGAGGGGTGGATATACAGTTAGTACTTTCAATGTTCTTGGAACTGAGAAGATAAATAGAAATGTCCTTGTACAGCTTAATAGAATACACTGGTTTTTTTGCAACTGCCTACATCACTCACATCTGTTCATCTGTGCCATCAAACATGCAATGGTACAAATCACCTAATCAGAGATGTGAAAATCTGAAGCAACACAGGAAAAGAAAAATCAAACCAGTTTTCTGACTGTTGAAGGTAAATATTCTCTACCTTTCTCTGACTACCAGACAGGTCAAGAGGTATCTTTAGGAAAGAAGGCTAGATGCCAGATATGAAAAGTCCCATGGATGCTCTTCTAACAGCCGGCTTGTGAGCATGAAATTTATTTACACCCTACAGTTTTGAGAGAACTGATCTGATGACAATGACTTGGTCCATAGTCATTTAAGGTTTTGTATGCATTTTTCAATTTTCTCAGAAATCTAAGAATTCTCAATAAATGGTTCATGAATTCCTAGCATTAGGCTAATGTTTAAAAGTGCATTCATGCTTTTTAACATTGCTACTAGGTAGTCCATTCCCAACTGTTTTAGACATAACAACCTGCTCAACTCTATCAGTAACAATATATGTGCTTAATGACAAAATCACTTGTAGACAGAAAATTGTCATTTTTTCTAGGGAAATGAAGATACCTCAATATACTGTCTAGGAACAAGTTATACTCTGCACACATAGAAAAGTCATATCACTGTGGGGGAAAAAAAAATAAACAATGAAGAGGTATTTAATGTAAATAGGATATTTGCACAAGTAAGTAAATGTTCACTTAAGGTTAAAGCTTGAAGTAATCCCAGTAGAAGATTCTAAAAAATGATTTAGCAACATTTTAAGTCTGACTGATTGTCAGTTAGACTTCATTCAATTATCAGAGCATGATACCAAAAAATGATGTTCTAAAAGGTGATCAAGGATTTAGGGTGGCAATTTATTCTACCCAACATTATAAAATTTTAAGGAAACACAAACTCAGAAACATAGAATAGTGCCTGAAATCCAGATCTTTTGAGATATAACCATGCTAGGCCAAGACTTGAGGCAAACCAAATAATTATCACCATTTTATTAGATATGTTATAAAAAATGAATGTTTAACTGTGGGATACTGCCACACAAACAAACAACATATTTCACCTCCAAAGTAGAAAGTATCTCCTGAATAAATTTGCAGAGGTGTGAAGGCATGAGCAGATGAGGTCACGTCATTGTCAACTATTACATTGATACGATTCCTTTTGACAGAGAAGGAGACAGAATGCCACTGGCCATTATTTAATCCAGAACCTGAGAGGAAAATAAAAAGCAAAATGAAGTGTAAACATCTATTATTTGTTATACTACCTGAATGCTATAAACTTGAAAGGAAAAGAGACTGGTAGAGCAATCACAGCCCACATAAAAATGAGTCATAATGAAAGGAAAAACAAACAAAAAATGAGTAAGAAACACAAACGTCTTTTTCCACAAATGTTATTCCCTTGTTTCATGTCTGATAAAGAAGAACTAAAAGTACTTAAGTGAATAAGCCTCACAGTTATAATACTCATAGTTGTCAGTAATACTTTCATTTAGTGTAGTGACTGAAACATATCCTCCCAATGTAAGGAGGTTATCATTAAAATATCATTGTGATAGATGATACAGTATTTTACACATAATACACATTTTTGGTGCACTGTTAAAAAGGTTGTATTCATCTTTTAAAAACAAAGGTAGTCATTATGTTATAACTCAGTAAAACAGCAAAATCCTGTAGATGCTAAAAGCTTCAGCAACTGTCATGCCAGTGTCACAAGATTATTTTTACTTCAGTTGCCTCTTTTATAGGAAATGCATGAGAAAATTGTCTGAGAGTTTAGCCTTTAACACCAATTTTTGTTGCCTCTGGCTTTGTAAGTGTAAGGTGCCACAAAGCAATGCAACTAAAGCCCTGCTCCTGGAAAGCATTTATATATGTATACTTATACTATATACAAGGCAGTATGTAAGCACATTATTATTTTTAAGAAGTGTTTTAAGTCAGTGATGTTCTTGAGTGCTCTGCATAATGGACATACTTCTTTCAGTGAAGAACAAGGATACAACTTTTGAAATAAGTAGTCTTTTCCTGACTGCGAAGTACCTATAATTTATGATCTGTGATTTCCCTCTTGAAATGTCATGTATTTATATACTCCTTTATAGGGAAGTGTGTTGTATATTCTGGAGAAAGAGTCCACCAGTTAACTGATTAATTCAGAGTGAAAAGAAATAAAAATAGAAGGATGAGAAGGTTCAAATAGCTAATTTACATCATAGCTAGGATCCATATATTAACTACCATAGTCTAAACACAAGATCAGCATACAATCAAGAGACAAATTTTAGAATCATATTATTAGTTACAGATAAATTATAATCTAGAAAATAACTTTAATATATTTAATATTAGTCTTATACACCTTTCTTATTATTTGTTTCCTTACTTCAACCATATATTTATTAAGGATCACATAACAAGAAACTTAAAACTTTTTGCTTTATCTCCAGCCTCAGTGAGAATACATAAAAGCTATGGCTAACATATCTTCTTATCTTTGTGTCACACTTCCAGGAAGAATTCACCTTTCTAATAAAACAGCAGAAAGCAGAAGGTCTCATACATGGGTTTCCTGATACCATCCAGAACATTATTTATTTTGGTTGCATTCTTCTATGAGAAGTGGCATTTGAGTTTACTAGGAGCAGTACACATAGATTCAGAATAAAAAATCAGCATTAAAGCTATCACTAATTTTCTGGGTAAATAGGTTTACTTTCTACTTCTGTAAATTTCTGTATTAATGATATTTATAGAGATAGACCTTTTTACTAAAATGAAAAATGGAAACCTTATTCCACACAATATAAAATAGTAATGCTATTTATTTTAATTCTATTTTATCTGGCTACCAAAAGATCACCTGTAGAGGGATAATCTTTTTGTAACAAGGATTTACATAGGCCTATAGGCAATGTGGAGGGAATGACTAGAGTTTTCTTCTATTTTCAAGATGTCCAGCTGCTGAAGAAGTCCCTTTGTACTGGTGGCAGTTCATATAATTTACAGCAGCCTTCAAGCTGCTGTATTTTATATTAGGGCTGGCATACTACTGAGTTGATGATCAAGAAAATGCCTTGAAGCCTAGCTATTTTGGCTCTAGCTGTATTTTTCCTGGATGATATGATGCAAAACACATTTAAAACACAAAGTAGATTAAATATTAGAAAAATATTATTAGTACCTTGAATATCATGGCTATGGATATTCAACTCCACTGTACAGAGTACCACACTGTAAAATGAATTTTCTGAACTTACTATTATTTACCTCTCTTTTTTTTTTTAAATACTATTTCACAGCAAGAACTGATCAAATATATCAAAAGTTTTCACTAACTTCAAGCAAAGATCAACAAAGAATCACAGGCAGATATAACATCCTTAGGTCTTTCATATCATTGTGAGCTGCCATGAATTATACTCTTTCACCAAAGAGACAATAAGTATGATAAAACAAAAAATATGAGTAGTATGTTCTTTAAAGCAGAAAAAAATAAGTCTCAGAAAGGTATTTTTCCCAATTTCCAGTTATATATTGGGGTTTTTTTTATAAATGATAGTAAAATTATCGGTCAATAATAAACTACATTGTAAAATGCATGTAGTGTATAATGCCACTTAGAATACAGATTAATTCAAGTTGGAAGGGATCTTAAAGTTCATCTGGTTTCAACTCCCCTGCCATGGGCAGGGACACTTTCCACTTTGCTCAAAGCCCCATCCACCTTAGTCTTGAGCACACCGAGGGTTGGGACAACTACAGCCTCCCTTGGCAACGTGTTTCAGTGACACACCACCCTCAAAGTGAAAAACTTCTTCCTCATTTCTAATCTAAATCTACCCTCTTCCAGTTTAAAGCCATTACACCTCACTCTATCTCTACAAGCTCTTGTAAAAAGCCCCTCCACAGCTCTCTTGTAGGCCCCCTTCAGATACTGGAAGGCTGCAAAGAAGTCTCCCTAGAGCCTTCTCTTCTCCAGGCTAAACAACTCCAGTTCTCCCAGCCTGTCCTTATAGGAGGCTGGATCATCTGATCCAGTCCTCTGATTCTTTCTGTGGCCTTCCTCTGGATGCACTCCAACAGATTCAGATCCCTCTTCTATTGAGGGCTCCAGAGCTGGACACAGTACTCCAAGTGGGGTCTCACAAGGGCAGAATAGGGGGGGAAGAATAACTTTCTTCAACCTGCTAGCCATGCTTCTTTTTGATGCAGCCCAAGATACCGTTGGCTTTGAAGGCTGCACTCACACATTATAGGCTCCTGTTGAGCTTTTTATGAGCCAGAACCTCCAAGTCTTTCTCCTAAGGACTGCTCTCATTCCACTCATTGCCCAGACTATATCTGTACTTAGGATTGCCCCAACCCAGGTGCAGGACCTTGTAGTTGGCCTTATTGAATGTTGTGCGGTTGGCATGTGCCCACCTCTACAAGCCTGTAAAGGTCCATCTGGATGGCATCCCTTCCCTCCAGCATGTCAGCAGCACCACACAACTTGGTGTCATTGGCAAACCTGCTGCTGGTGCACTCAATCCCACTGTTCATATCAGCCACAAAGATGTTAAACAGCACCTGTCCCAGTACCAATCCCTGAGGAACATGACTTCTCATTGGCCTCTGCTCAGACATGCAGCCATTGACAGCAACTCTGTGAGTGTTGGGATAGCTAACCAGACATCCACTGAGTGGTCCATACACCAAACCCATATCTTTCCAATTTAGAGATCAGGATACCCCGTGGGACAGTGTCAAACTGCATCTTGTTGGAGGTTCATGGCTTTCATGAGATTCACACAGCCCACTCTTTAGGCCTGCCAAGGTTTCTCTGGATGATATCACTTTCCTCTAGCAAATTAACTGTAGCACTTGACTTTAGTCCCCTGAGCTGGAAGAAAGGGATGAAGATGAGAATAATCCCCTCATAGTCCAGGAAATAGTAGTGAAAGACCTTCTAAGCCAATTGGACACCACCAAGTCTCCACCTGAGAGTGCTGAGGGAGTTGACAGAGGAGCTTGCCAACCCTCTCTCCGTCATTTGCCAGCAGTCTGGGTTATTGGGGGAGGTCCCAGATGACTGGAGACTTGCCAGTGTGACGCCCACCTACAGGAAGGGCAGGAAGGAGGATCCAGGGAACTACAGGTCTGTCAGCCTGAGCTCAGTACCAGGGAAGATTATGAAATGCTTCATTTTGGGGGTGATCATGCAGCCAGTGCAGGACACAGGGCAATCAGTTACAGCCAACATGAGGCCATGAAGGTTAAATCCTGTTTGTCCAACCTGATCTCCTTCTGTGATCAGGTGGCCTGTCTAGTGGATGAGGGAACATGGTGGCTGTTGTCTACCTGGACTCCAGAAAGGCATTTGACACTGTTACCCAGAGCATTCTGCTGGAGAAACTGGCAGCTCATGGCCTAGACAGGTGGACTCTTCACTGTGTTAAAAACTGTCTGGATGGCGAAGCCCAGAGAGTTGTGGTGAACAAGTTAAATCCAGTTGGCCACCGGTCACAAGTGCTGTCCCTCAGGGCTCAGATTTGGGACCAGTCTAGTTTAATACCTTTATCAATGACCTGGGTAGAGTTTCAAATGGACCCTCAGTAAATTTGGAGATGACACAAAATTAAGTGGGAGTGTGGATCTGGTGGAGGGTAGGAAGGCTCTGCAGAGGGATCTGGACAGGCTGGAGCAATGAGCTGAGGTCAGTTGCATGAAGTTTAACAAGGTTAAGTGCCAGGTCCTGCACTTGGGTCACAACAACCCCAGGCAATGCTCCAGGCTTGGGGAGGAGTGGCTGGAAAGCTGCCTGGTGGAAATGGACCTGGGGGTATTGGTGGACAGCTGACCAAACATGAGCCAGCATGTGGCTGGAAGACATGCCTTATGGCGACCAGCTGATGGACGTGGGGGTATTGGTGGACAGCTGACCAAACATGAGCCAGCATGTGGCTGGAAGACATGCCTTATGGCGACCAGCTGAGGGAACTGGGATTGTTTAGTCTGTAGAAGAGGAGACTGAGAGGAGACCTTATTGCTCTCAACAACTACCTAAAAGGAGGTTGTAGTGAGGCTAGTGTTGGTCTCTTCTCCCAAATTACTGATGATTGGACTAGAGGAAATGACCTCAAGTTGCACTAGGGGAGGTTTCTTCACTGAGCATTGTTAAGTACTGGAACAGGTTGCCCAGGGAGGTGGTGGAGTCGTCATC